GGAATACTTTTTCATGGTTCCATTCTTTTCTTCTTCAGCTCTCTTTAAGAGGGCCCTCTCTTGCATTTCCTTCCACTGGTTCATTTCTCTTTCATGTCTTGATTCATTTTCCTCAATAATTTTTCTTCGTTCTTCCGATTCTGCAACATGACCTCCTTGAGCCCACGCCATTACACATCTTCTCTCATCCTTGGATACTGGTTTATCATCCAGATATGTTAAATGTGGTAGTTTTGAAATAAAAGTCTTTCTATAATTCTTAGTTTTGCCTACAAAAGGATTTCCTTTAAGATAGAGCACAGTTAATTTAGGGAGTTGGGAAAGGATATCTACAATACCAGCATCATCTATCTCATTGCTTGATAAATCCAATACTGATAATCTATTTAATTTACATAAACTGGAAAGGCTGTCTATCGATGAAATTTTGTTATTACCCAAATTCAAAGTCTCCAATTGAGGGCAACATTCCAAATTTTCTACAACAGTAATTCTGTTACTGGAGAGGTTCAATGTTTGCAAATTCACTAAATTTTCCAAATTTTCAATTGTAGTGATGAGATTCTGGTTGAGATACAAACATCTGAGCTTATCCAAGTGGCCAAGGTTTTCAATTTTAGTGATGGCATTACCCTCAAGCCATAAAGCTTTCAGTTCAGTGTATAATTCTAAATTTTCAATGACTCTGAAGCCTCGGTGATGAAGGAAGAGTTTATCATTCAAATAGGGTGTTTGGAACAAACTTTGGCGAGAGCACAAGTCCCTGATAACATCTACAGTTATTCTTGGAGTGTGGTACCTTTTTTCGGCGCTTGAGGGAGAAGATGGTGATTTGTTAGTGTCTTCCATTGCTTGTTGTTTTTTAGGAGTGGAGGTTTGGGATGGATCTTCCCTTGTTTCTGTTGTAGGTTGTGGGGTTGTTGTTGGTGTGGTTGTTATTTCAGTTTCAGAATCAATCTCCTCAATGATTATTTTACTTGATTTTGTATTAGACGTTGTTGATTCTTCATTATTTTCTGTTGAGGATGAGAGAGATCGAGCCCTAGAGAAGAAGGAGAGCATTTTTTTAGATGATAATTCAACTACCTGTTCCCAAGTTGTAGTGATATTTTTGCGCCAATAGACTGCTCACTGTAATCAACGACTTTGTATGTTGGATTATGAGCAG